TGAGCACCCCCAGACCCCTCTGAGCCCCCCCAGAGCCCTCCTTAGGGCTCTCCCCTGCACCCCCACATCCCTTGGGAGCCCTTTGACCACCCCTGAAGCCCTCTGAGTACCCCCAAACCCCTCCGAGCATCCCCAGAGCCCCCTAAGCGCCCCCGTAGCCCTCCTCAGGGCTCCCACCGTTACCCGCCAGCCCCTCAGGAGACCCCTGAGCATCTCCAGACCCCTCCCAGCACCCCTGGAGCCCTCTGAGCACCTCAGGAGCCCCCTAAACCCCCACAGCCCCCCCTCAGGGCTCCCCCCGTTACCCCCCCTGTTCCTCAGGAGCCCTCTGAGCGACCCCAGATCCCTCCGAGCACCCCCAGACCCTGTCCAAGCCCCCGGAGACCGCCTCAGGGCTCCCCCCATTACCCCCCCACCCCTCAGGAGACCCCTGAGCACCCCCAGACCCCCCCTCGCCCCCTCCCGGCCCCTCAGGAGCCCTGTGAGCACCCCCAGACCCCTCAGAGCACTCCCGGACGCCACCCCCTCGGCCCCCCCACGCCCCTCGGAGCCTGGCCCCGACCCAATCTCCCTCCCGAGCCCCTCCCCCCCCCCCCAGGTGACTCCCACCTGGCAGCCACACAGCCCGGCCAGCACCGAGGTGTCACTTGCGCCAAGGGGGACACAGAGGGGACGGCACTGCCACCGGGCCCCGAAAAACCCGGGGACAGAACAATAATGGATGATGCTCAGAGGTCCTTACAGGGAAAGTGAGCTTTCTAGAAACATCTTTTACCCTGATCTCCTGGGAGGCAGCAGACTTCTCCATGGGTTGGGTCAGGTTGGCGTATGCGGCCCTCTGTTCTGCTCAGAAGGGAGTCACTTATGACAGTAACCCTTCTCTTTTTCTTGATGGAGGTGGTCGTGATACTGGGGAAGGCTGACTTGCCCTAGAAAACCCCTCCAACCTGGATGGACCTTCATGCACATCATCATTTGTGTGTCCATTAGTTCCAGAGTCTGTTGTTTCAGGGCACCTGAAAGGAAGGTGAGGTAGGCAAGGAAGGGTTCGCCTGCTGCTCCGAGCAGATCTAAACTTCCATCCCTTCGTCACTGAGATGCACTCCTTCTGCCTGATGGCCAGAGGGTAGGGGATCCTCCATTTCCTCTGCTGTGTCTGCCTGACGCATCTGTCCCAGGGCTGGCAGAGTACAGTTCAACCTTCTCCGACTCCCTGGTGCTCCTCAGCCTGCCCACCTCCTCCCAAAGCTCTGCCAGGAGGCTGAGCAGTTCTTCTACCTGGGCGCACCTACCACAGGTGGACTCACAGGATGGGATGTCAGGAAGAGTTTCTTCATGGAAAGGGTGGAACCGGCTGCCCAGGGCACTGGTGGAGTCCCCAGGCCTGGAGCTATTAAAGAAATGCGTGGACTTGGCGCTAAGGGCCGTGGTTTTGTGGTGGGCCTGGTGGTGTTAGCTGACGCTTGGACTTGAGCTGAAGGCCCTTTTCCAAGCGCAAGGGTTCTGTGACTCTTTCACTGGTTGAGTAGGCACCATGCAGTCACCGGGCCCAGGGAAAAGACGTCCTTGGTGGCCTCCAAGTTAGCTCAGCGTCATGGCACCAAGTCACTTTGAAGGAGCTGCTGGAATAACGAGACAACAACCTAGTTCTATTAAAATATATATTGCTCTTTTGAGGACTGCTGCGGGGCTAGCAGCACCACAGCAGTGGAAATCTCCGTCCTGACATTGCGTTATGCCTTGAAGTCAGGATCAGGGTGGTTTGAACTGCCAGGGAACGGACCATGGGTTCCGGGTCTTTCTCTGAAGGCTGGAGGGCTGCAAAAGAAAGAAGAGCAGAGATGAAAACCCACTCCTTGCAGAGATCCCCAGGCATCCCCTGCAGAGCATGCCAGCCCCACTCGACTCTTCCCCAGGCCAGGAGGAGCAGGAGGGACAAAGGAATCCGTTGAAAGCTGCTGCTCAGCAATGTCCCAAATGCAGCCCCCAGTCCTTCCCCACCTGCGCACCACAGGTCAAGTGGGGCACCTTCACAAGCTGGTTCCCTCACCACCTGCCTCCATCCCTTGGGAGGATTCACACACTCCAGGAATCTCCTGGACTCTTTCCTCTCGCTATTGTGCTTCCCCATGAGAGCAAGGGCTAGCAATCGTGACCCTGCTCCTAGCTGCTTGTAGGCTGTCTCATCTCCCTCTTCGTCCTGGTTGCGTGCTCTACAACAGGCTCCCACCTTCTGTCAGCCTTACTGCCCTTTCCCCTGACTCTTCCTCAGGGACACTCAACCCTTTCAGCGGCACTGCCCAGCTCCAGGCTGGGAGGCCATTCCCTGACACCACGGGCTACCCCGTCTCCTCTCCCTCGTTCCTATGGTTGCATTGCTCCTCCGCCCTGAAGCATTTCCCTGGAGCAGGGCAAGGCACGGGGGCCTCTGCCGCTGTCCCCCCAGCCCTAGCACACCCCCCACTGCCCTCACTCACCGCTGAGGATTTCATCCAGCTTCTCCTCGCTCTGGTCCTTGCAGTAGCGTGCAGCAAGACCTAGACACAGAGAATCTTATCAGAGGCCCGCTCCCCAGCAGCTGCCTGGGGGGCATGCCTTCCTCCTCATCCCATTCAGAAGGATCCTCTGGAGTGGAAGACTTCTCAAAGAGAAAATAGCGGCTCCTCTGGGCGGGCGGTTGCGGCATTGTGGGACGTGGGCTATGCTCGGGGACTCCTCGAAGGCCCTGTGCTCCTGCCCTGTCCGTCACTGCCGTGCACCAACACTGAGCGTCCGAGCCATGGCTGTGCTCTTATAAGGTGGAGCCCTGGGGTGTCACGAAGTGACGTCACAATGGGTGCCCACCCAGCCCAGGCACGTGCCACAGTGGCACCCATTGTGACGTCACTTGGTGACACGCCAGGGCTCCGCCTTATAAGAGCGCAGCCGTGGCTCGGACCCTCAGTGTCGGTGCACGGCAGCGACGGATATGGAAGGAGCACAGGAGCCTCAAGGAGACCCTGAGCGCAGTCCAAGTCCCACAATGCCGCAACCACCCACCCAGACGAGCCGCCCTTTTAACCTTGCGAGCTCTCCCACTTCAGAGGCTGCTTCTGAATGGGATGAGGAGGGAGGCATGCCCCCCAGGCAGCCCAGGCAGGCCTGGCAGGAGACCTGGTCTTCTAGGGGCAGCAACCAGCCAGCAGAGGACAGCTTGCTGGCAGAGGACAAAACCCCAGTCAAGGCCATTTTGCCGGTAGAGGACAGCAGCCTGGCAGAGGCCATTTCTCAGGAAGTGGGCAGCAGCCCGGCACAGGACAGGAGACCGGTAGAGGACAGCTTAGTGGTTGAGGACAGCGGTTCGACACAGGATAGCAAGAAGAAGTCGCAGCTGCTGGATTCCAGTGAGTCTTAGGGATGGGGTGGGGAGGGTTGGGGACACAGAGACCGCAGCTTGACTCCAGGACTCCTTTCCTGGGTAAAGTGGCGCTTGGGCTGACGGGACTGAGCTTCCTCCGCAGCACCACAGAATCCCAGGACGCTCTGGGCTGGGGGGGACCTCGGCGATCACGATGCTTCCCCCCAGCCCAGGCTGCCCAAAGCCCACCCAGCCTGGCCGTGGGCAGTGCCAGGGAGGGGGCACCGCAGCCTGCGCCAAGGCCTCACTGCCCTGGGCGTGAAGGAGAGAAATCCCTGCCTGGCCAAAAGAAACCTGCCCTCTTTGAGGTTAAAGCTGTCACCCCTTGTCCTGTCACTGCAGTCCATGATGAAGATCCCCCTCCAGCTTTCCTGGAAGCCCCTTTGGGCACGGGGAGGCTGCAGCGAGGTCCCCCCGCAGCCTTCTCCAGGCTCCACAAGCCCAGCTCCCTCAGCCTCTCTTCCCAGCGGAGCTGCTGCAGCCTCTGGGCATTCCCGCGGCCTCCCCACGTCCTTCTGGGGCTGGGGCCCTTCCTCTCCTCACCCCTGCATTCAGCCCCTCTCTGCAGCACTCTTTGCTTTCGTCCTTTCCAGGTAATATATGGAAACTGCGCAGAAACTCGGCTGTGCAATCTATCAGGGCATATGTCAGACGGAAAGAAAAGGTAATGGCAGCTACTTGCATCGCAGCAGTGCTCCTGGAGCTGCCCTCCAGGGGTCCCACACAGCCCCAGACCCCTCAAGGCTTTGGTCCTGCTGGCCGTGGGTGTCCCCCTAATGCTCTGTTGGTGTCTTTGTGGCTGCCAGGGCAACGAGGAGCAGAAGATAGTTTTCCTCATCGAAATCTGCGATCTGTGCAGATGTGTCACCGAGAAGGGTGTGCCGATGAACTTGCATGGCTTCTGCAGCAAACATAAGCTGGTGGAGCACATCATGGTGAGAGGATGTGCAGCGGGTTGGGGAAGGGGCAAGGCCCCCCGGCACCAGCCCCCTGGGAGGCAAGGGCTGGGGCAGCGCTGGCTCTGCTGCTGCTGGGTGCCGGCGGCTCCAAGGTCTCATCCTGCTTGTGCTCTGCAGGCGCTGATGGAAAAGGAGCCCGTGGACAGCTTGCGCACAGAATTCTGGCAGATCGCCATGGAGACTGTCGCCCTCCTCAGGTGCGTGCCCAGCCCCTGGTGGCAATGTCCTGGTGGCCCTGAAGCTGGCAGGGAGGCTGCCCGTCCCTCCCAGGGATGCCTGGCCAAGGGAGGTCCGTGTCCTCCTTCATAAGCCTCGAGGCACTGCATCCAACAGGCTCCTCTCTCTCTCTCCTTCAGCAACACCGTACCAACAGCACTGCATGGCAAAAGGGAGAGTCTCCTGAACGTGTGCTGCAAGAGCGTCTTCTTTCTGCCTCCGGAGTCGGACATGCCAGAGACAGAAAGAGCGCTCTACGCCAAGGTATGTGCTGGGTGAGGTACCGGCACCCCCAGTCCTGCTGAGCTGCTGCCTTGCTTCCCCGTGCTGACACAACCAGAGACCAGTGCAGGGCCGGGGCCCAGATTTGCTTTCCCAGCCTCACCCTTTCCCCTTCCCGGGCATGATCCCGTGCTGTAGGATGTCTGCACGCAGCGGCTTTTTAGCCCCAAAGCCACCCCTGAACTCCAGAGGGGCTCAGAGCCAGCTCCTGAGGGTGAGGAGGGCCACAGAAATAATTCGATGCTCTTCTGTCCTCCCTGCAGACTATGGATGCCTTGGACACCATGCTGGAGGGCTTCGTACTCAGCTGTCCCATCACCAGTTTCAACACAGAGATGCAGAATATGTTGAAGGTTTGGCATTTGCAAAGAATTTCCAAAGAATCCTCTCAGGTCACATTTGCAGACCACTGTCAACCCAGCAACTTCTCTCCTCGCAGGTGATGCTGGACTTTGCTGGCTCCAAAAACTCAACTGTGCGCGAGAGAGCTGTGAGGAGGATTGAGAGGCTGATTACTTTCATCCGCTGGTATTTGGTGACCAAGGTAAGGCACAAGGAACCCTCCACCCTTTCCTGCATCCCAGAGCATCCTGCCATGCAAGGGTGCCTGTGAGGCAAGCCTCGATGTACGTGAGGGCCTCAGCACTGTGAATCGAGGGTCTTTGTCCCTCCTTCACCCCTGCTCTTCCCTCCCCAGGCCCTGCTATCTCAGGGGCTGGCTCTGCCTCCACTAAGCCCTTTGTCTCTCCTCCCTTTTTCATACAGATCTTAGAGAACTTTGAAATCTATAGCGAAGATGAGCCCAAAGATTTCAACCTGTGCATCCCCATCCTGGGCAAGCTGCTGGGCCACCTCTTGCTTTTCAGCAGTGGCGATGATTCCATGGGACACGCAGCTTTGAAAAGTCTTTTTCACATGTACACAGTCGTCACAGAAGGAAGAGGTAAGAAGGTGTGGTGGGCAATGTCCATCTGCACACAGACATCTGCTGGTTTGTCTACCTGTTCTCCCCGAGTATTGTGAAGGATTGTTTTTGTGCTTGGTGGAGGCTGCCCACAGAATTCTGCCAGGTTCCCTGACCTCCTCTGCTCCTCACAGCAGCTTCCCGCAGCATTCTGGCTATCGTTTTCCGCAGAAGCTAGACACTCACCTGATGTCCAGGAGCAGTTCTCTGCTGCTGTCCTTCCCAACCCTCCCCAGATCACCTACCACACTATTTTGTGGTCTCCCCCAGTCTAAGCCATCAATCGATGAGCACTTCCCAAACCACATCTTCCCTGAGGAGTGAACAGCAGAGCCAGCCGTGCATCACCAGGGATGGTGACGCCCTCCAGAATGCTCCCTGACTGTTTGCTCCCTGCCGTCTTAAAGGCAGGTGTCAGGGGGCTTCCTGCACGTCCTGACCCCGAGCAGAAGGGGGTCTGTGACACGCTGCTACCCCCACAGCACCCAACGCCATTGCTTCTCCTCCTTCTGCATCATCCCTGAGGTCCCTCTTGCTCCCAGCACTCCTCACCTTGTGCTTTACATCCCTGCCCATCACTCTCCTCGCCATGGGTCTGAGCCTCCCTCCTCAACCATTCCTAGTGAAAGTGCTTTTCAATATTTGGCAAGCTTGTTGGCAAAGATGCTCTTCCCTACTGACTCTTTGGTGTTGCCCCCTGTTTAGAATGCATATTGAGAGAGGACATGGAAAAGTATGCAAAGAGACACCAGAGTTTGGAGGATACAACATTTCTATTTTCTATAACATCAACTCCCTGTGAAATTGCCAAGGTAATGAGCTCTGGCCTTGCTGGGGATCTTGTCCGCAGCATCAGCAGGCATCTCGTGTAGGCAAAGGGGTCCAGAACCGGTGGGGCTGGCACGGCCTCACTCGCCCTGGTGAGAGGGTTCCTCTTGTTCCCCGAGGGCCCTCTCTCCAGAGCTGCCCTTGCTGCTCAGCTAAGCAGCACCCTTGGGACACTCAGTGAGGCATGTCTTCCCTCCTCCTTCTTCCCACAGGGGTTTGGAGGACATCTCTTCCCTGCTGAGAGGCTGGACATCATCCTCACAGCCCTTGAAGCTTTACAAGACTCCAGCATCCATGACAAGCAGGGGGCCTTCAGCGTGCTGGACGCAGCCTTGGAGGACGCTGGCTACTGGCTGACAGATGTAAGTGGCCTGTGGCCATGGCCCTGCCCTTGAGCTCTTCCAGGCGTTGTTCCTCTCTCCTTCCCTGCCTCCCTCCCCGCCTCCCTCGCACATCGGGGTCTCTTGGGCTCCAGAAGCCACCTGAAGCCAGCAGAGAGCAATGGAAGGGGCCAAAGTTTGAGTGGCAGCTGTGGCAATGGCTGCGGTCTGCTGGCAACACCATTCCCACTTTGTCCCCCAAGGTGCCAACGATCATGGAGTGCATCAGGAAAAACCTGGGCAGCATCCACACAGCATCGGCGTGGCAGTGCCTGGACTCCCTGCTTCTCCAGCTGACCAACGTGATGCCCAGGAGTGAAGTCAAGAACCTGCTGCAGTTCTCTCGGCCACGTGGCAGGTCCTGGCCTTAACATCCTTGAGGGCTTGTTCCGCGTCGGGAGATGCACCTGGAGACTCTCTGCTTGCCACACCAATGGCAAAGGGCAGGACATCCCCAAGGAGCACAGCCCTCCTTCCCACCAATGTGTTCCAGCACTACTGGGCCAGCCAGGGCTGCAGCAGCCCAGCTGTCCAAGGCAGCCCAGAGTCCCCCTGCCCCCAGGGAACACCAGCTCAGCCCCCTCCTGCCTGCCCAGGCTGGGCCCTCAGTGCTCCCCAAGTCACAGGGGCTGCAGGACAGCCTGGGTCCTCTGGGGCTGGCCCAGTTTGTGGCCCTGCGGCTGAGGCAGCCTCACTGACAGAGTATTCTGGGCTTGCAGCACTGACCTGGGCATGTGGGAGGTGATCCTGGCCATGCCGCAGACCTTGGAGAAGGTTTTAAACATCATGATGGAAGACTTGCCGCTGTGCAACTGGTGCACCGCAGTCACCGAAGACACCTGCATCTGTCGCTTGGCTGTGAGTTCCCAGATGAAACCTTGCTCCCAGCAGGGCTACGTGTGCCCCTTCAGGCACACAGGCACAGCCCTGTGCCCGTCTACCCCCAAACTGCCAGCTCCCGCAGGACGTACGGACACATGGTCCCTGGGGCCGGCAAGCCCCCGTAGCTCCCCGCGCCTGGTGCCTCTTTGGTGCCAGCTGGCGCTGCCCCATCCCTGCCCAAAGGTGGGAGAAGAAGAGGCTGCAGGGGGCCCTGCCAGGCTCTCACTGCTCTTTCTTGCAGATGCTGGCCCAGAATCACATTTCTGAGGAGGACTTTGGTAACCCAGTGCACCTCCAGAGCTACCTGAAGCACCCAAGCCCAGAGATGCGCTTTTTGGTTCTGAAAGGGCTCTGCACCGTGTCAGAGAGCCCTGAGAAGGTGAGCGGGCCATCGTCATGCAAAGCCATGTTGGCAGCCTGGGGCTTTGCTCTTCTGCCCTCCCGTCCCTCCCCGCTGCCAGGAAGCAAGGCAGGAGGCTGGTGCTCAGGAACCAGAGCCCTTTGCCCAGGGTGGTCTCTCACTGCCTCACGGAAGGGAAATGGTGTCTTTCCTACAGGCAAGGAAAATTCAGGTCTTGCTGCCAGACATTGTGGAGGCTCTGCAGGACACCAACACAGACATGCTGATGAAGGCCCTGCCTGTGCTGAGAAACGTGATGGCTCATGTGGAGAGGTGGAAGGCCAGTGGCCCGGCTCTGCAGCTGGCTGAGAAGCTCCTGCCACTCTTTGACCACGTAAGTGTGCTGCGGGAGCCCGAGCCCTCAGCTGGGCCCCCTGTAACGAGGGCTGCCCTTCAACCCGGCCCTGTGGGCAGCACTCAGGCAGGGCCTTCCCAGTCTCCTCGTCAGCCCAGGCGCTGGGGAGCTCTACTTGGGCATGGCTGGTGCGGCTGGTGGCGAAAGTGGGTGGCTGGCGGGCAGCCTGCGATGGCAACCGATTGCGTTGCCCTTCACGGGCACCAGGCCTTGCAGCTGCCCCTGAGCAGCTCCTTTGGGAAGGATCCAGAGCTGAAGCATCTCACAGTGCTTGGAGATCCCTTCACATCAGTCAAGCTGATGCTGAAATTCCTCCTGTCCTCCTCCCTGCCAGGAGTCCAGCCAGGTGCGGGAGCACTCCATCTGCCTCTTCCAAGCTGTGGTGAAGGCTGTGCTGCGGCAAAGGAAGAAGGAAATTAAGAGGACAGTGCACAGGAGCCTTCTCCCACTCTACTTTCACATGAGAGACCAGAGTGAGAGCGTAGCAAAGGTACAGATCTCAGAGCTGAGCAGTTAGGTGGGCAAGGGTGTGCTGATGCCACAGGGTTGCTCTGGGGGATCACAGAATTTCTAGGTTGGAAGAGACCTCAAGATCATCGAGTCCAGCCTCTGATGTCTGGCTGTGATCTCTGGGATCTCTCTCATTGTGAGCTGCCTCCGATGGTGGCTGTCCCGTGGCCTTGCCTTGGCCACTGAACCCAGTGCACGCTGCTCCCCACCACAGCCTCCCATAACACGCTGGGAAAGGCTCGCAGCCCTGCCAAGAGGAGGGGACAGAGGGTCTCCTTCCCAAGGCTGTGCTGCTACCTCCCAACCTCTGCTGCTCCGCAGGCCTCTGGGGAAGCTCTCGCCGTGGCTGCAAAGTTTCTGCGACGCAAAGAGCTCAAGCGCTTGGCCAAGACAGAACAGACGTGGAACATCAGGGAGTGCTTGGTAAGGACCCATCTTGGTTTGCCCCAGCTGGGCAAACGTGCCCGGCCAGAGCCCGCTGCCTGCAGCCGCATCCTCGCTCCCTTCCTGCCAGCACAGAGCCCCAGGGGGCTGTTCTGCAGGCCCCTCTGCCCTCCCTGCCCCCAGGATGCTGGAGGAGACCCTGGAGAGGGTGTGCAAGCCCCGTGACCCTGCGTTCTCTCTCTCTCCAGCTGCAGCAGGACAGAGGCAGAGTAGAAGAATACCTGCAGCAGAGCCAGCCCTACCTGCAGGCCACTCAGACCAACTTGCGACTTGAGGCCGTCAGATTCATTGGTGAGCCCAGCCCCTGAGTCCCTCTTGGGGCAGCCTTTGGCAGCCCCAGGCACAGCCCTGTTGCCCCCAGAGCCCCCCGACTGGGCCCTTGCTCCAGGGTGCAGGAGGGGGCACAGCCTGGCTGGCCAGGCCAGGGGCTGCACTGCTGGGAGCGTGCTGGGGAGCGGGGCTCTGATAAGATTCTCTGTGTCTAGGTCTTGCTGCACGCTACTGCAAGGACCAGAGCGAGGAGAAGCTGGATGAAATCCTCAGCGGTGAGTGAGGGCAGTGGGGGGTGTGCTAGGGCTGGGGGGACAGCGGCAGAGGCCCCCGTGCCTTGCCCTGCTCCAGGGAAATGCTTCAGGGCGGAGGAGCAATGCAGCCATAGGAACGAGGGAGAGGAGACTGGGTAGCCCGTGGTGTCAGGGAATGGCCTCCCAGCCTGGAGCTGGGCAGTGCCGCTGAAAGGGTTGAGTGTCCCTGAGGAAGAGTCAGGGGAAAGGGCAGTAAGGCTGACAGAAGGTGGGAGCCTGTTGTAGAGCACGCAACCTGGACGAAGAGGGAGATGAAACTGCCTCTTCCTGGCCTGGGGAAGAGTCGAGTGGGGCTGGCATGGTCTGCAGGGGATGCCTGGGGATCTCTGCAAGGAGTGGGTTTTCATCTCTGCTCTTCTTTCTTTTGCAGCCCTCCAGCCTTTATGTAACGACCCGAATCCCACGGTCCGTTACACGACAGTTCAAACCACCAAGATCCTGACGTCAAGGCGTTACAGAATGTCAGAACTGCTATCTCGACTGCTGTGCTGCTGTTAGCCCCGCAGCAGTCCCCAAAACCCTTTTGTAAATATTACTATAAATCTTTAAATATTACCCATTTTATAAGTATGACTAAATTCAGATCGAGTTGAGACTTCATTTGTAACAAGCCTAACGTTCAGCTCTCCAGGAGTAGACCCAATCTTCCAAGTTCCTGTTATGGGTCCCTTTTCTCCTGACCCATCCTGGAACCTTCAAAGAATTTCTGAATCCCTGGAACCCTCTAAAAGCTTCCAAATCCCTGGCTGTGCCTGTATCTAGAGGTGTCTAGCAAGTGGTTAACCCACCCAGTGCCTCCCAATATTGCTTAGAGGCCCCAGCACCCTCCCAGTGCCCCCCAGTGTTGCCCAGAGCTCCCCAGCACCCTCCCAGTGCCCCCCAGTAATGCCTATGGACCTTCAGCACTCTCCCAGTGCCCCCCCAGTATTGCCCAGAGCGCCCCAGCACCCTCCCAGTGCCCCCGAGTAATGCCTATGGACCTTCAGTACTCTCCCTGTGCCCCCCCAGTATTGCTCAGAGCCCCCCAGCACCCTCCCAGTGCCCCCCAGTGCTGTCTTCAGCCCCCTCAATTCTGTTCCAGTGTGCCCCAGTAATGCCTGGAGACCCCCCCAATTCCCTCCCAGTGACCCTAGTGCTGTCCTGAGTGTCCCCAGTTCCCTCCCAATGCGTCCCAGTGTTGCTTAGAGCCCACCAGCACCCTCCCAGTGCCCCCCCCCAGTAATGCCTGCGGATCTTCAGCTCTCTTCCAGCGCCCCCCAGTGTCGCTCAGAGCTTCCCAGCACTCTCCCAGTGCCCTTCAGTAATGCCCAGAGACCTCCTGTAGGCATTACTGGTGGGCACTGGGAGAACACTGAGGGGCTCTAGACAGCAATGTGGGGCACTGGGGTGTTATTGAGGGGCTCTGTGCAGTACTGGGGGGCACTGGGAGAGTACTGGGGGCTCTAGCTACTTCTAGGTGGGTACTGGTGGCTCAGGGGAGCACTGGGAGGGTACTGGGTGGTCTCCAGGCAGTGCTGGGAGGCACTGGGAAGGAATTGGTATGCTCTGGGCATCACTTGGGGATGCTGGGAGGGTACTGGGATGCACTAGATGCGTACACTGGGGACTCTGGGGAGCACTGGGAGGAACTGTGAGCACACTGGGGCACGGGGGCCAGCACTGGGGGTTACTGGGAGGGTACTGGTGACCTCTGGGCAGAACTGGGGGACACTGGGAGGGAGCAGGGGGGTCTCTAGGCATTACTGGGGGTCACTGGGAGGGTGCTTGGGGACTCTGAGCAATACTGGGGGGAACTGGGAGAGAACTGGGGGCACTCAGGACAGAACTAGGGGGCACTGGGAGGGAACCAGGCATCTCCAGACATTACTGAGTGGCACTGGAACAGAACTGGGGGGGCTAAAGACAGCACTGGGGAGCACTGGGAAGGTATTAGGGGTCTCCAGGCATTACTGGGGGCACTGGGAAGGAGCTGGGCATCTTCAGGCATTAGTCATTCAGTCATGCAGATGCCCACGTGCCCAAGAGTCACGCTACTGAAGAACATCAGAACAACGAAGAAGTGGATCGAGCTTCGAAAATCAAAGTGGCTCAGGTGGACCTGGACTGGGAACGTGAGGGTGAGCTGTTTGTAGCCCGATGGGCCCATGAAACATTAGGACATCTGGGGAGGGATGCCACTTACAGATGGGCTCGTGATCGAGGGGTGGACTTGACCATTGAGGCCATCACACAGGTTACCCATGAGTGTGAGACCTGTGCTGCAATCGAGAAAGCCACGAAAGTAAAATCTCCCTGGAACAGGGGGAGATGGCTAGGGTTTCAATATGGTGAGGCCTTGCAGATTGACTATATTGGACCACTCCCAAAAACTCGCTAAGGCAAACGGTACATACTCAGCATGGTAGAAGCAACTACTGGGTGGCTGGAAACGTACCCTGTAAACCACACCACGGCCCGAAACACTGTCTAGGGCCTGGAAAGACAAGTATTGTGGCGTCATGGTACACCAGAGAGAATTGAGTCTGACAATGGGAGTCATTTCTGAAACAATCCTTTTACCTTCTGGGCCAAGAGGCATGGTGTTGAGTGGGTGTAGCACATCCCTTATCAAACGCAAGCTTCTGGGAAGGTTGAGAGGTACCATGGACTGTTAAAAACTATGTAAAAAAAATGATTGTGATTAGTATTGGACTGGCAATGACATCAATGAATATGAAAGGGAAAAAGCAGGGGACTTTTCTGTCACCCTCGCTTAAAATTTCTTTATTGGGATGGATTTAGGACAGCTGTGCTCGGGATGGTTTAGTGGGGACTGTTAGTGTTAGGTCAGAGGTTGGACTCGATCATCTTGAGGTCTCTTCCAACCTAGAAATTCTGTGAAATTCTGTGATTCTCTTACGAGCATTAGGTGCTGGGACGTGGAAACAATGGGACACAAATCTACCAGAAGCCACTTGGCTAGTTAACAATAGGGGGTCTGACAGCCGTGCTGGTCCTGCTGAAACAAAACCCCTACACACTGTGAAAGGAGCTAAAGTTCCCGTAGTGCATGTAGGAAGGTGGATGGGGAAGGCAGTGTGGGTTGCTCCTGCCTCGAGAAAAGGCAAACCCACTCGTGGGATTGTCTTCGCCCAAGGACCGGGTGTGGTGGTTTTACCGTGCTGGGCAGCTAAACCCCATAAACGCTCTCTCACTCCCCCTCCTTTAGATGAGGAGGGGGAGAAGTAAAGCAAAGAACAACTCACGGGTTGAGATAAGGATAATTTAATTAAAGGGAAATAATTATAATAATTAAATAAAGACTACCATGAACTAAACAATTTAACTAAGGGGAAATAAAAAGGGAAAGGGGAAAAGGGAGGGGAAAAGGGAAAATAAAAAGAAGGGAGGAAAACAAACAAACAAAATAAATGAAGGCTATATGGAAGTGCAGAGGAAAGAAATTATTCTCTACTTCCCACAAATGAGCGATGATTGACCACGTCCTTGAAGCAAGGCCTCAACGCACGCAGCCGGTGTTCGAGAGGAGGACCGACGTCTTCTCAACGAGAGCCCACCCCTCCCCTCTTCTTCCTGTTTCCACCTTTTATTGCTGAGTGTGACATCCCATGGTATGGAATATCCCTTTGATCGGTTTAGGTCAGCTGCCCTAGTGATGTTTCTCTCCTCACTTTTCGCCCATCCCCTAGGAGGGTTAGAGAAAGGCCCAATACTGTGCCACTGCTGCTCAGCAGTAGACACAACACTGGTGTGTTAACACTGCTGTTCCAGCTACAAGTGCAGAGTACGGCACTGTATGGGCTGCTGCCGGGAAAGTTACCATCCCAGCCAGACCCAGTACAACCGCCACCCCTTATTCCATAACATTTGTGTCACACTCAGATCCCCATACTTTAGCATACAAGCATTCTCATCATTATTCCTTGTCCTTTAACAGGACAAGGATTTAACAGGACAGGATTAATAGGCAGGTGTATCTTCTCATTCCATAGGTCTTTCTTGGAAAATGTTCATAAGAACTGTTGATGATTAGGTCTTCATCTGCCAAAGTGGCCACTCAAGGCAGGTGGAGTTGGATGTCTGGACACGAGCACCAGCTTAGCTCAAGTCCTTGTTGCACTTCCCGGCTCCTTGCAACGTTGACCTGTCGTTGATCCTACAGCATCTTCCTACAACATCTAACTTAGATTATAGATTAGTTTTCTCTAATCCGGCCCGGTCGGATTCAGAGTACTGAACCAGTCGGACGTTCACCAAAAACACATTAACTGTCTGGGGGTCCGTTCAGACATTCACCAAAAACGCATTAACCGTCTGGGGGTCCATTCAGACATTCACCAAAAACGCATTAACCGTCTGGGGGTCTGGTTAGATTCAGAACACTGAACTATCACAGATAACCACCCTCACCCTAGTTGCACTTAATGAGAGCTATCACAATGCAATCAAGTGTGGGTTATTACAGCAACAGATAATCAGGTTCTTTTGCATTGCCGGTGATGGTGACAGTCTGCAAAAGCAAGCTAGTATGCATGAAATACACAGGTGTTATAGGTGTTACAGGTGTTACAGATGTTATAGATGTTACAGATGTTACAGGTGTTACAGGTGTTACAGGTGTTACAGATGTTACAGGTGTTACAGGTGTTACAGGTGCGCAGCCTAGAAATAAAACTCGTTAAAAGTTCATCATAAACCAGAGTTTAACATACAAACTAATTGTCAGTATAAAACATAATACAGTGAGTATTAACAGAACAATAACAGGGTGAAGCATCTTGTTGAAGATTCCCTTGGCAGCTGGCAACCATCCAAACAAAGTGTCCCACCAACGGTGTCTCTCATCTCTCTTTACTCTTTCCATCACTCGATGTATTTCTTGTGTATCATGATGGACAGTAATCAGTCGTGTCCATTTTCTCGTACTTGTGTCATCATCTGCTTCAGGTCCTCATGTACCAGCAATTTCTTCACCAAGGTAAGGTTCATTCCTATAGGAGTAGGCAGCAGTTCATGAAGCAGAATATAATTAGATGCAATAAGTTGATAAGAAGAGACAGGAACTGAGTATTTAAAATCACATCCTAGAATTTTGGTAAAATTGCAAACACAAACATTAGAGTGATTACTGGTATCTACCACTGTATTATCTACAACTATAGAATCACAATGAGTTCTCATGCAAACGCAACCTTTCCCAATATATACAAGTACAGTTTCAAGGGTTTCATTAGGATGTATCTCAAAGTGGCAAATATTTTGCTCAGTGTCAAGAGAAATGTCTTGAGATTCCAGCGTGTTACTTTCACAGATGAAACCTTTTTGTTCATGCACAATACATGCATTTACATCAATTGTTTGCCACTTTCCTCCCTTTTGATGGGCCCATACTTTACGCTCTTTAGGATAAAGTATAGTTCCATTATGATTGAGTCCTAATGCAATGATTGGATATACATTGTATACAGTGGCATTACTTATAGTAAGTATAAAGGCAACAATTTTATCATTTTCTGCATAATGGGTAAAGTTGACTAATTGCCACCAAGCTTGAAATTCTTTTTCAAATTCTGAAGCA